TCTCCACCACTCCTGCATGCAGAGCAGACATCAATAAGCGATTACCACATTTTCTGCTGAACCTGGATACAGCCTCAGAAGTTGACTCAGCACAGTCCCCCAGTCAATCTGTCAGCCATTACCAATCAATCACCCTCTGGATGAAATCATTTGCCTCCTACTGGACAGAGAGAGCCAGGCAGCCTCAGCCTGGCCCTTTGCAGTCTTGACATCTCCTCCCACCCTCATTTCTCGTTACTGCTCTGTGCTCCAGATTTCTTCAACTGCATGTCATTCCCAAACTTACTGCCTTTATCTCGCTCCTCAGAGTTTTTGTCCATGACAGTCCCTCAGCCAGCCTGGAATGTCCTCTGCGCAGTATGCTAGTTGTTCTTCAATATCTGTTCTCCCACCCACTATTGTAATAAAGTTCTATCTGGGCATATTGCCACCCACAAAAAATATTGCCTGGCCTCCCTTGAACCTGGGGGTAACCACATGACTAAGTTCTGGCCAATGGGATGGGAGCAGAAGTGATCAGTGTCTTCAAGTTTGGCTCTTGAGGGTTTGAGCACATACTCCACTTGTCCCCTTCCCCTTTCGTGCTGGTCATGGGGTGGCAAGAACCGAAGCACCTGCCAGAGGAGGATGCCACAAGATCAACATGGCAGAGCCAGCTCTCAGCCCTGGCCTGCTAGGGAAGGAAGACCTCCACCTCCGCCTTGTCTAAGTCTTTGTATTTGGGGGTCTCTTGTTATGATGTCTATGCAGACGCCATAGGGAGTCTATGATGCCCTAAGGATACGCCTTCCCACCTGCTTATTTGATCCTTATGAACAACCTCCAAGGCCACTCCTTGGTGAAGTTTTCCCAGAGCCCCCAGCTCCTTTGGCTCCTGGGCACTTCATGCACCCCTCACCAGCACACTGACCCGGAAGGCAGCTGTGGCCTCTCCCATTAGGCTGGCTGAAGGCGACTTCTCTGCTTTCATCCATCCTCTCTGCAGTGCTGGTCGTGGCGCTAGTGCACAAGCCTGACCACATCACCCCCATGCCACCACTGCTGCAGTCCAAGCCCTTTGGCCTGGCATTCAGGGTATGACTCTGGCCTACCCTTTCCCTTGGAGATGAGGCTCAGACAGCGAAGTGATTTCCTTTAGCAGCTGAGCCAGCCATTCTTCCCTCTGGGTGCAAAAACGTGTCATCCTTCACACTGCCTACCCCACCCTGGACTTGACAGAGGCCAGCCCCACCCAGCCCCAGCGCGGCGGGCCTGAAGTAGCTGCTTCCTTGCTGGCTAGACCTATAATGTCCTGCTCCTCCTTTGTTAATAAGAAAAGGGACAGAGAATGGGAAAGTTTCCTTGGTCTTTGTATTTTTCTCAAGTGGCCTAGGAAGTCTCACGGTAGGTATATCTGTTCCCAAGACCCTTCTTCTGTCCCACCAGGCCACATGCTTTGCAAATGGCCCACACCTATTCCTCTGAACTTCTAGCAGCCATGACCCTCCTAACTGAGGGTTGACCTTTGGCATCCCTCTCAGGCCTGCAAGCCCATCACTCCCTTGGCAAACAGCGCATGCAGCCCAGACGCAGGATGCAGCCAGGTCTTAGCCAGTAGATGGCTATTTTTGGACTGGGAGGATCCCAGGAGGATGCTGGCAAGGTCAGATAGAAAGGGAAAGAGGCAGGTTTTCTGCCCATGATTATGTGTCCCAGGCGTTCTGGGTGCCGCCCAGGGTCCCAAGGCTGCCACAAGGAAGAACACACCCACCACAGGACTCCGGCTTGGCCTAGCTGGCCACAGAGGGCAGGCACCGGTTTGAGGATCCAGGCTTCCATCTCAGCAACCACAGTGGCCAGGAAGAGAGTGTTTGTTTTGTCCCAGTAGCAGTGAATTCAGCATCAGGCAAGATGTAGGGTGGGGTGGGGGATAAGGTGTCTGAAACCAATCTGATGGCAGAGGGAGAACACCAGGAAGCAGCCAGTCATCAGCAATGACTACTGATGCTCATTTATTGAATATTCACAGAGCATCTACTATGTATGGGGTACAGTATTAGGTGCTGGCAAAACACAAGTGAATCAAGCTTTGAATTTGTATGTGGCACTTGACAATTGTATGAGTCCTTCTGTGAGGATCAGGAGCCTTAAAGTGGTTTATAAACTCCAACCATCAGGAAATAATCAGAAATGCATGATGTAAGGGCAAGAACGACAGTGATGTTCTCTTTGCAAATTTGAGGATGTTCAAACATGCCAGAGTGTCAGAACTGAACTCCCTTCTACCTACTTTTAGTATTTTGAGGAGGGTTACCGATGCACATGAAGTGCTCAGTCCTGTGCCTGGCACATAGTAGGTGCTCAAGTGGGACACAGCGGCAGTAACTGCTATTATTTATAATAGGTTGGGTTTGGTGTTGAGAAGGTTACCATACCAAGGCATGAGAAGCCTCAGGTCAGAGAGAGGCAGGGCAGGGGACCCAGCAGGACCCAGCCCATCCTAGGAGATTTCGCTGTGATTCCATGACGTGAGATGCTTCCGTGTGGCCATTCCAGTCCTTCCCTTCCTCAGTTACAAAAGGCTGGAAGAGCATCTTAGTTCCCTCTGATTTTGCCTGAGTTTGGGGCCTTCTGTTTAAATTCTTCGGGTGTTGCCCACTGGCTCTGGTGTATGCTTTGGGTCAAACTGCCTTCTGAGAAATTCTCAACATGCAGAGGTATCCCTCCCAGGAGCCCCTGCTCACTCTCCCTCCACGCCTGGCCAACTCAGTCCCTGCTGAGAACCAGTGTCAAGCCCTTTCTTCTCCCCATGGCGTTTCCTCCTCCGCCGACCCTCTGAGCTGCTTCATGGTCTTCTCCTCACTGCTCAGGACCCATGGGTTCCGCACAGACTCCCAGAAGGCAGGGAGAAGAGAAGTGCTCTTCCAAGTCCTTGCCCCTCCTGCCACATTCCTCCCCAGCTCCCAGCCTCCCAGGACTACCTGAGCCCGACTTTCTGAAGCACAATTTTGAAACCTATTCAGAGCCACCCACTCTGATGATGGACAGGACACTTGAAGGTCACCAGATAACTGATGTGCTTTCCCCAGTGAGGCAAGGAAGGGAGAAAGGCAAGCCTCTGCCTGGTCACAAATGTGCCCCCAACACTAGGACATGGCATTTGATAAGGATTTCTCTGCATCTTTGAAGTGCGAGAGGCAGTTGAGAAAATAACAATAATCGTGCTTACTAGGAATCAGAGAAGATGCTAAGCAGTTTCCAGGATTATCTCGAGGAATCTCTACCTTGCCGGTGTCTATTGTCCCTGTTTTCAGACAAGGCAACTGAGGCACAAAGAGGTTAAATAACTCTCTGAAGGTTATAAGCCTGGTCCATGTTGGAAATGGAATTCAAACCTACATCTTCTGTGGCTCCAAATATCCTGCCCTTAACCAGCATTCTATATGCTGAGCAAAAATCGGTTGTCATTGTCCAAGAGTTATAAGGGCAACAGACACGATCCTTGGACACATGGGCTGCCCCACAGCCCTGATGCAAATGGTCTCTCTGCCCAGGCCCCATCACCCAACCCTCACCTCCACCCCATCTCATTAATCTTGGCATTCCTCTCCCGAAAGCTTTCCCAGACCTCCGGGCCCAATCTTCAGGGCCCAGAGGGAGGGAGGGAGCTTCCCAGGGCTTCTGGACACCCTTTTAATTAACCCAGACGACCCTCTTCTCACCGGGTCCAGCTGAATCGTTTCACAGTCTCCTTGTCTCCCAGGGCAGCATCCTGTAACTGTGACTCCCACCACAGCCCATTCACTCTCCAGCAAATGCGGTCCCTCGTTTCCCGTATGCTTAACATCTGTCGGCCTCTCTTCCCTGGCTTGGGGACCTTGATGAGGGTTACTTGAGCCCCTTGGCTTCTGGGGCCAGAGGAAAGCCTGCCAGAGAGCCTAGTGAGCACCCTGCAAATGCCACCTGCCACCATGGATATCGAGGAGGCCACACGCTGAGCTGGCAGAGGCCGGTAGCAGACCAGAACTCTCTGCCATTACTTAAATGTGATACCTTGTCTTCCCCAACTCTTCTTTAGGCCTTCCCTCCCCACCGCCAAAGAGGTACAGCCCATTCTACTTCCTCAAGGAAATAGTGAAACTTCCTCATCTGTTATTCTCATGGCTTAACAATAACAGGCACCTAGAAAAGTAACAGGCACCTAGAAAAGTTCTCATAAGCTGTAACGTATCATTTGCATTCACGGTGGACAATGCACTTGAATCCAACACACTGCATGGTGCCCAGCAGGTCCTTAGTACATAGCTGTTACACAGATGAATAGACATAGTTGAGGAGCAGGCCCAAGGATACAGAGGAAAGTGTTAGAATAGCCAGGTCAGAGGTCTGCCCACACAAAGCTAGTAAGTGGCAAAAGCAGGTTTTTGTTCTAGATTAGACCAGTTCACTGTATTACACAGCCTTGTCTTGCAACCTTTGGCTTGTGCCTTCATTCCTTGCATGTAAGCACGTGTGTGTTGCATGTAGCCTAGAAGCCATATAGTGAACATGCATTGCCCTAATCCAGCTAGCTATAGAAAATAAGGTCTTACAATTATGGGGTCATTCATTCAGGTAACAAACATTTTTGCATACCTGGGAAGCTGGGGACACAATGATGAATACAGCAAGCAAGGTGCCGCCCCTTGGGGGGCTGATGGTCCCTTTGACGCTGCATAGCACTTCATAACTTTCGAAAGAGCCATGCCCATCATCTTATCTGACTTCCCCACAACCTGGTTCAAAGAGTGTCAGGCCCATAAAAGACTCTATGAACAAATGAATGGTGGGTGGACTGATGGATGCCGGGCAGGCAGGCCAATCAGTGAGTAGATGGAAGGCAGCCACAGATATTGTCACTCCTGTCTTTCAAATGAAAAGTGATGGCCTGAGTGAGGTGAGGCTAGAGCATGGCCACCAGGAAGAACCTCTGGTCTCAGTCCTGGGAACACCCACTGTCACCTGTTTGCAGGGCTGCTTACCTGGCGGGCAGTTACATCCTGGAGATGTCTTTGGGGCCTCCCGGCGCCTCCTTGAGTGGAGCTTCCATTTCTGTACAAGGAGACAGACAAGAGGAGTCACCAGGAGCTCGTAGACACCAAGCCCTGGAAAGCGGCTGTGGGCTGACGAGGAGGGCAGCAAGAGGGGGAAGGGGTCACATAGGGGGAGCTGGCAGAACTCTTCCTGGATCAAAGACAGGCAGTTAATGGCCTTCCACTGGCCACCGTACAACTGGGTAATAAAAAGGAGACAAGAAAGCCCATCCTGGTAATCACAATGTCTGATGTCTTTGGAGCACTCTTAAAGACATTAACCCCAAACACAGGACCCTATAAACCAGTTGCATCTTCCCGCACCTCACGCTCATGTGTACAATGACATGCTTTTCTCAGCTCTCTGCTAATAGTTTCCTGCCTTGGACTGGGCTCCTGATGGACCCCTGGGCAGGGACAGTGCCTTCTGTTCTTCTGGTGTCCCTTACAAAGCTAGCATTTGCAGACTGGGCAGGGGTACAGGAGTAGGGGGATGGCAAGGCTCTCTGCACCCCTCTGCCAAATATCTTCCTCACTTCCCTTCAAATTACTGAGCCAACCTGGAAGGCTCCAAAGAGGTGGGAGCATCAAAGAGGTAGAATATCCCAACCCTCAAGGAGTTGTCATGTTCATGATGGCAAGTGGAGAGGAGCATGCATAATGACCATGCATGCAGGATGCCCCTGTGTGTCAACTCTGCAGGCTTACGCTGCACAGGGCAATGTAACAAGGGTCTCGTAAGGACTCTTACTTGATCCTTGCAACAAAGTTGGCCAGACTAGCAGTTAACAGGGACACCTCTAGAGCCAGGCTGACTGGACTAACCACAGTTCTCAGACTCTGGGCTAATAAGAGTCCTCACTTCATTGGATTACTGTGAAGTTAGAAAGATTAATGCATAGAAAGAATGGCACCTGATACCCAGGAAGTTCTCAATGAATGTTAGCTATTACCATATTCATTTCACAGGTGAGGAACTTGAAGCACAGGGAGGAGACTGCACCTGGCCAAGGTCAAGGTTGAAGTAAGGAACAGAGCTGAGATTCAAACCCACACTCTGATGCTCATGAAGCCATAGGAAGCTGGTAGCCCTAGGGTCAAATAGGACTTTCAATGTATTTTATTTGGTTCCCACAGTGAGCTTTAAATCGTTGTTATTATTGAATTTGTTGCCAATATTTTGAAGTGAGTGGTTTCATGTGCAAATCTGCATTTGTAATTTCTCTTGAAAAACTAACTGAGAGATCTGGCCACATGAAGCCTGTGCTCTGGCTGGCCAGGACTGACTGCACGTGATGTGCAGTAGTCCCCACCCTGACAATGTTGACCAGTTAGGGTGACAGCCAGAGCTATTTGCTTCCTCACTACTGTGCAATTTTGCCACTCAGTGTGGGCCACAAGGGAGGTGAAGAAAGTAATATGAGAGGTGTCATAAGGGTGATATCACCTCTGGTTTGGGGATGGAGAGGGAAGGTCAGAAAGTTTCACAAGGATTCAGAGCAAGCGGAGTGATTTGCTGAGGGTCATACAGTCAGGATGTAGAGGATCTGAGGTGTGAACTCTGGCCTCCTGGCACAAAGCCCGCTCCACCTGCTGGAGGAAGGTGAGTGCAAATGCCTGGGGAGGGAACACAGTGACAGATGGAGGCGGGGGCTCTGAGAGCAGAAGGGGGTCAAGATCAAGGCAACCAGAAGAAGGGAAACACCCCAAAGTGGGGACCCTCACTTAGAAAGGGGAGGCTGAGTAACAATTAGGTGGACGGATGTTGAAGCCAAACTACAAGTGGGCACAGAGCAGCCGCGGGGCCAACAAATGAGCCCCCAGGACAAAGCCTGCTCATAGCCCCTCTGGTGCCCAGCTCTGAGCCTGGCTCATGAATGCTGCTTTCCTGCAAGGGACTGCATGAACCCGCCTCCACATCCCTCCCCACCAATCACCTGGGGGCCTGACCCAGAAGGTGCATGACACAGGTCTGCTCAAGGACAAAACCAGTCAATGACTGACAAGCCAAGACCAGAGGAGTCGGCAGCATTTTGGCTAAAGGTTGTAACCATCAGATATGTCACCCACTCAGCAGCAGCACTAAGCAAGCTGCCATCACAGGGTTGGGCTGGAGACAGAGCTTGTGGCATGAGTGGGTGGTGCCCCTGCTCCATCCCCATGGGGCACACCCCTAGAGGGGCATAACTTCTCTTGGAAGAAAATATCAATAAAAAACCAAAAAATATGTAACAGGCAGTGATAAATGCTGGGAGAAAAATGAAGTAAGGCAAGGGGACAGAGCGTTATGGAAAGTAGTCTTTTCATACCAGGGGATCAGGGAAGGTCTCTCTTTGAGGGGACTTTGAGCAAAGACCCAGAGGAAAGTAAGAAAATGAGTCATGTAGTACCTGGAGGAAGTAAGAAAATGAATCCTTTGGTATCTGGAGGAAGTGTGTTCCAGGCAGAGGGAACAGCAGAGGCGAAGGCCCAGAGACAGGATTGTGCATGGAGCATCTGAGGAACAGGAAGGGGCGAAGTGTGGCTGGAATGATCTGAGTGAGGACAGGGGATAGGAATGTGGGGGGCAGGAAGGCAGGTCATTAAGGCAAGGGCAGAGATTTTGAATGTGTAACATGGATCCCTGCCACTGGTTCCGGGCTTGTTGACAGCCATAAAGCACCACAGCTTGTGGGTGCTGTGGTGGGCCGTCCAGTCTCCCAGGATTAGACCAGTGGTTTAGCTGTTGGGAGTGTTGGCTGCTGATGGCTGAGCCTCTTTCTGGGAGCTGCTCTTAGCCCAAGGAAGCAGCCTTGATCAGGGTCATACTGTCCCCCAAAGGCAATCCGTATTTAATTACTGATAGATGGGAGGAACGCAGACCTGGCCCCTCCGCCTCAATTTGGACTGACTCTAGGGCCACCCCAGCTATGGAGCGCCTCTGTCATGACTGTATCACAGTTCAGCCCCTCCTCTGCCCAACTCTACTTCCCTCACTCCCCCTCCTGTGTTGATGCCAATAAGTCAAATAAGTAAGTCATCTACTCATAGACTTCCACTTTGGAGACTGTTCCCTTGGGAACCCAACCTAAGGCAGACCTCCATGTGACTTTCACATTTCCTGAGACTTCACCTGACCCTCATCACTACCCGTGCAACAGGCAGGCCAGAAGTCAGCCCCATTGTATAATCCTGGAAACTAAGACCCAGAAAGGGAAAGGCAATTGCCTTAAACAAGTAAACCACAGAGGGCCTAAATTCCGGGTCCTCTAACTTCAAGTTCAATGCTTTTGTTCAATAGCTCCTATATTTATTGAGTGCCTACTATTAGTGAGACTGAGTAAAATAGAGAATGAGACACAGTCCATCAGCAAACAGCTGAGTTTGGTGTGGGAGAAGCATGCTCAGATGTGTCCAGGGGACTGTAGACTTTGGAGGGCCTGGGTGTTGAGTGGAGAGTGGGGGCTGTGAGGGTTAATTTTATCTGTTAACTTGCCTGGGCTAAGGATGCCCAGATAGCTGGGAAAACATTCTTTCTAGGTATGTTGATTAACACTGGAATTAGTAGACTCAGGAAAGAAGAGTGTCCTCACCATAGTGGGTGGGCATTATCTGATCTGTTGTGGGCCTGAGTAGAATAAGGTAGAGGGAGGAAGACTGCTCTCTCTGCTTGAGCTGGACTATCCATCTTCTCCTCCCCTTGAACATCGACTCCCCCTGCACCACAATTGGTTCTTGGCCCTTGAGACTTGGACTGGAATTTACACCATTGGCTCTCCTGGCTCTCAGGCCTTCAGGTTTAAGTGGAGCTACACCACTGGCTTTCCTGGGCCTCTTTCTTGAAGATGGCAGATTGAGGGACATCTCATCTCCATAATCACATGAGCCAGTCTCTTCTGATAACTCATTTTCTGTGCATCTATGTACAGCCTATTGCTTCTGTTTCTCTGGAGAACCCTGACTAATAACCAGGTCTTATGTGCCCAGGTAAGGATTCTAGCATGGAGGAACCCTTCGAAGGTTTTAAGCAAGGAGGTCATGTGGTCAAATTTGGGTGATATAAAGGTCACTCCAGCAGCCCGTTGAGTATAGACCAGTGAGACCGCTGGGGCTGAGGTCCTCTCTGGAGGATGTCGTGGTCATCACCCAATGAAGAGACGTGGGAGGAAGAAGGAACTAGGCACAGGATGGACTTGGAGTGGTGGTGGGAGCCAGGCCCTGCCTTGGGCAGCCAACATGCCAACCCTGGGACATAACAGAAGCAAGAGCAGGTTGTGGGAAGCTGGCAAGTTTGTGGAGCCCAGCGGGGGTAGGCACAGGCAGCTCTGGAGTTTGGGAGAGAAGGCAGGTGGGAAGGGTGGACCTGGAAGTCGGGAGCCTTGATTGGAGGGATGGAGACATCTGAGCAGGCAAAGCTACCACAGGCACAGCTAGAAAACAAGGTCAGATTGGGGTGTGTTTTCTTGGCCTGCCCAGAGTTTATTTTGAAAGAGTATTGAATCTCAACAGTACCACAACCCAGCCACAGTCTAGGCTTCAACACTCTGCCCACGGATCTCCATTTCCCAAGGACCTAACACCCTAGTCCCAGGGACCCTCGAATCCCACAGGACCTTCAACCTGTGGGTCCTACCAGCTTTTTACTTTCCATCACCACCATGTGTCACTTCCCTCCGCGCCCGGCTCAAATTCTGCGGACAGTGATTATCACCACTCCCTCCCTTCACTGCCTCGACACCCTCCCCCTTCACTAAGCCACAAGCCTAGCTAGATTCAACGTCTCCTCCTACCCCACCCCTGCACACAGGCAGCGGGGTAAAGTGGGAGAAACACACAACCTCGCTGACTGATCTTACTTTAAATTTGTGATCTAGATCTCAAACGGAAGCCCAGCAATCATTCTGTGCTTCCCTCAACGCTTCACAATTGCACTGTCCTAGGAATTTTCACACTTCCTCTCCCCAAACCACCAACACCCCCTCCCCCAACTTCATTGTCAACTGAAGACCTTGAGAAGAAAAGCAAGCAGCAGAGGACTTC